AGCTACTACTACTACTACCACTACTACTTCAGCTACTACTACTACAACTACTACTTCTACTACTACTACCACTGGTACTACAACTACTACTACTCCTACAACCCATAGCGTGTAGCCATTTCTGAACTGGTCCAGGGTGAGGTTGCAGGGATGTTCTTGCCACTGGTGTCTGGTGTTGCGGAACAGGTTTATGTAAAGTTGTCTGAGCGCTGCACTGTTGTCCGCAAGGTCACTTTTGATTTCAGGTCCATGAAATTCCTGCCCATTGAGTTTCAACTTGAGGCTGGTCACTTTGAAATGATGGAAATGGAAGGGATTCTTTTGCTGGCAGCAAGGGCTTTGTTGTCTGCTAATCACAGGGCGACCCATTTAAGCAGCTGGCCTCTAATCTTTTAATCTTTGTGGAAATCATTCCCTTGACTTGGACTCGGGTCAAAGGCCATTTGGCCATCACTCCTGGTAACATGTGTTTCCCATATTTTTCCCATATGGAAGGATCATTGTTTTCTTGACATACATAAAACTCGGCTTTAGTCCGTTCAAATTGACAGTTGACATCTCTAGCACTGATCAAACAGAAATCAATGGGGCTACGAATCAGTTGAACTTTCATGTGGACCCCCTCCTCCAAATAATGTTCTTGGTGAAATAAGTCACAGTGTAGACGACCTGTCAGTTTCACTTCTTGGATGGGCAGAATGACCAATCGTCGTGCGACAAGGCCTGTGTTTGCATTCCGGGCGACAGCATTATAATGATCCATTTTCCAGCTCCATCTGTGTAACAATCTCATTAAAATCAGATCTTAGTTCTCGCTGCCGCTAAACAAAGATCTGAGTACATCCCATTACGGATCACGTCAGACTGACCTTTCGCGAACTCTGGCAGATCAATGGAATTACTGACAAGAAGTCGACATTAGCCAATCAGAAGGCAGCTTTCTCGTTCTTTACGGCACTATTGAGTGAGTGAGTTAATATTTAAAGTCACATCGGCAATATTTCAGCCATATCGTGACTTGAACAAGGTATAGCATATATAAAAAACTGTCATCAAAGGACAGTACAACAACAAGCAATATATCACAGATCATAATTTAAAACTAGTTTTAGATCAATAAAATGATTGGACTACGACGACACATTATAAAACAGGCTATTAATCACCAACAACTAAAGTTAGGCCACTATACTAGGGACCATGGGGACTATTTTTGCTACCTGCATGTTTTTTACGGCACTAATTTCAAACTGGCGACTACGCTATGAAACATATTTTGACAAATTCCCACTTAAAAATTTGAAACCTGAACAAAAGAACATTCTCAAATGGCTAATATATGGTCTAGATTGTATAGATTCAGTCGTGAAGCCTGTAAATATCGTTTGGAATACCCCGTTTTAAATTTTTCGAGGTTGGATGATTAGAAATCACATTCCGACTGTCACTTTCATGACCTGGTAAGTGACGCTCTGATTGGTCGGATGAAAGGTTATTCTGACGTGACCCCTAATGGGATGTCCTCAGATCTCTCTTAACCGTAGCATGGACTAAGATCTGATTTTAATGAGATTGTCTGTGTACCATCCTGGTCACTTGAGATGAGTCGATTTGGCTGCATCCCCCATACACTTGCTTACTTACACACATGTATACTTCTCAAAAGAGGGAATGCATCACGTTGTTCACTGTGGGAATGTTTTGTCCATCATCACTGTCACATTCATAACATTGGTATTCTTGACTTTCAGACCAACACGGCGGTAACACTGGTTCAAATCAATGAAAGCATTGACAGGCTTAACAATGTCAAGCCACTGAGGTGATCGCGAGGACGGTAATGATATGCACTGACCTTCTTGTAGTGAGGTGACCACAGGCGGGACAGAAAAGAGATCCAGTTGAACCTTGGCGCATTTGCAGGCATCTTGGCGCATCTTGGCGCATCTTGACAACTTGTCTTGACATCTTGACAGTTCTTGACAGCACCGTGTCTGGTGTTGAACTGTGTCTATTACCCCTCTGTACTGATATTTAAGGCTGCCTGATCGATATTGGGTACAACTCGGCCTCAACAACCCCGAATGGTGCAGGTGGTGCAGAGGGTGTGCTTGCATGACATCGACCAAGGCACTCCACATTTCTCTTCCATTCTTCTTTGGACAACAGTCGTTTGTTTGTCACTTCCTACTGGCAGAGTTTCACACCGCAGCAATAACAGATAACTCTATGACCTCGAAATAGCCAGAAATAGCCAGCTATGGCCACGTCTGGGGTCTGGGTCATCTGTTTAGGCCTTGTTTGAAAAGACCACACACATTAAAATTGATCATGGTCAGAGTGAGACGGATTACTCAAGATGTAAAAAGGAGCAGGTAGTGCATCGAGAACGTCACCATGTAGTGGAAGGACTTTGTTGGTGATACGAGAGGGAGCATGTTTGTGTTTGATGCTTCTTTTATGAGCTGGTGCTGCTGGCCCTAGTTGGTGTTGTCGCAATGTGGTGAATAACGCCTGTTTCCTATGGTGTTTCAAACTGTCCCCTATACTTCTATGTCCAGAACTGATATCATCCAAAAATCAAGGCAACATGCATGCTCCTGTTTTGAGTGCTGATTTTCATACAGTCTTGAGTATGAGCAGTGCTAAATTGTCTAAAGATCCCGAAGATGTTTCCCAAGCCTTTCCCTCTTTGATGGATTCGTGCTCGGTACACTTCCAGGCCTTTCATTCATTGTTGTCCACCCAAACCGCTGGCATGGTGGTGTGTGATGAACTGGTGTACCACCATGTTGAACATTAGAAGGTACCCAGATAATGTGGACAGAGTGAAGGTCACGATACTCCATTAAATATGATTAATCAAGCAACACCTAATTTATAGGCCTATAATTGTGGGAATTAAGAAAACAGCATTTTACTGATTGATCATTGTGACATATTGCATCTTGCTGTATAGCATGACTTTTTTTTAGACATGTAATACACGTGCAATGCACGGGTAATGCACGGGCAATGTCAAGCCGACAACATTGCTGAAATTAAGTTTGGAATCATGACATGTCACACTCTCTCATTTCAATTTGTTTTGCGTGTTCAGTACCCTAATTGTCATGTCACGTCGTAAATTGTCAGAGGCTACAAGGTGGCAAATTATTGGCATGAGAAATGCAGGAATGTCCAACAGACAAATTGGACGTCAGCTTCCATCATTTCAAAACTCTTGAACAAACACATGGCTACCACTAATGTGAAAGATCGTCCAAAACCTGGCAGACCCCGTAAGACAACAAGGAGATAGGATAGAACATTGTTGAGACTTGTTAGTCGCTGTCCATTTGACTCAAGTAAATCTTTAAAGCAACAGTTGTTACAAGAGAGAGCCCTTTCCTTCAGGACAGTCAGAAATTGGTGGAAGCAGCAGGATACAGTATCAGAAGACCCATTTAACGTATTAAACTGTCTCCTTCTCACAACCTAGCATGGCTTGGCTGGTATAACCAACTCAGATGAGTGTCGGGTCTCATTTGCTTATGGTGGATGGTCGTACACGTGTCTGGAGACAAAGGAACACAGCCATGGTTCCCCGCAATATCCAGGAAACGGTTCCTTTTGGGTGGGGATCAGCCATGGTATGGGGATGCATTTCCTTGGGTTGCAAGATGGACCTCATCACCATTCGCGGTGACCTTAATGGGGCTCATTATCAACAGGATATCCTTGAAAGAGCTGAACATTGTCCCCCATTTTGATAATCATCCTCTTTCCACAAGAACCATCGTCATGAATGACATTGTCTGGCCTCACAGAGCATGTGCTGTCACTCAGATCTTGCAAAAGAATGTTGTTTAAGACCATTCCATGGCCAGCCATGAGTCCAGATTTCAATCCCATTGAGCATCTTTGGGACATTTGTGGCCATTGTGTTCGACAAAGAGATCCACCTGTCCAAGGGCTCAATGAATTGACTGCTGCTTTGCATGAGGAATGGAACAGAATTCATCAGAATCAAATCCAGAGATTGATCCAAAGAATGAGGAGACGCCTTGAAGCAGTTGTTCGGGTTCAGGGGGGTTACACAAGATATGGATGGAAAGTCAATATTTGGAATTGCAGGACTTTGTTCTTCAATTCCGTGAACCAGAGGTGTGCAAGGTACTGACAGTTAAATCTGTGCAACAAAAGTGACATAAGAATTTTTTTTAAGTCATTTTCCGAATCTGTAACAACTCCAAAAGGGCACATTATATCATGGTTATCTGGGCTATGTTTCTCCTCAACCCTTTCTTTACACTGAATAATTTATTTGGTAAGGAAATCCTTTACACATTTCATGCACTAGTTCACTAAAGTTGCTCTGTGCGACAATATCCATGTAAATAGATTTTGATGACATCCCTACATCCCTGATGCAATCCCAAGAAACTCAAAACCCATTCAATACTTTCCAACAAAACTTTGCATGTTTACCAGACAAATCCTGAACTGATGCCTTTTGCTATTTATTTTTTAGAATGTGTTGTTTTTTTACGTTTCCATGGTAAAAAGCTGGACTTCGTTTCTATAAGGGTGGTGTTCATTTCCGGAGCATAACTCAAAAACTGTTAAGTACTTTCTTTCAAAACTCTGCATGTCTACCAGGCACATACTGAACTGGTGCATTTTTATGTTTCCATTGCAACAAGTTGGACTTGGACTTTGACTTAGGGTTCTATGGGGTAGAGTTCATTACCGGAGCATAAATCAAAACCCATTCAATTCTTTCTAATAAAACTTTGCATGTTTACCAGACACATACTGAACTGTTGCCTTTTGCTGTTTAGGAATTTTACTTTTTTATATTTTTTACATTTCACATTTCCATGGCAACAAGATGGACTTAGGTTCTATAAGGGTGGTGTTCACTCTAAAACTGTTAAGTACTTTCTTACAACACTTTGCATGTCTACCAGGCACATACTGAACTAGTGCCTTTTGCTCTTTAGGAATTTTATAATTTTATAATTTTTATGTTTCCATGGCAACAAGTTGGACTTAGGTTCTATAGGGTAGAGTTCGTTTCCAGATTATAACTCAAAACCCATTCAATACTTCCTAACAAAACTTTGCCAGACACATACTGAACTGGTGCCTTTTGATATTTGGCACTTTTAGAAATGTTTATTTTTTACGTTTCCACGGCAACAAGTTGGACTTAGAAAACAAAAATGGATGGGTTCGATTCCGGAAGAAATTTTCCACATCTATCAAGCACATTGCTGCCTTTTGCTATTTATGAATTTTAGAAATTTATATTACTTGGCATTATTTCCAGAGCTTGACGCCGTATAATAATTTCCAATGAAACTGTTTTAAAATGGGGGGGGGGGGGGGGATATAGATGACTTTGTCAGCTATACGCTTGTTATGATTATATGATTATGTTATGTACTGCTCCTCTTAGCCATGTGTTCTTGCTGTGTGATGTTTGAAAGAAATTAGGGAATACTTATCATGCTAATATTTAAAAAAAAGTTCAGTAGAAGTCTTAGATCTCGGCTACAATCTTCTGTTGTAATATTGTATGAACAGGTGGTTATGAAGAAAACATCACTGATTTCTCCACATTGTTACTGGGTTGATCTGAATTGGAACTGATTGGTTCTGCTTCAACATGTTCCATGTACGGTAAACAAAATATGTTGTGATGACAAGTTTCTGGACTGAAAACTGAATGGGTTACCTTGTATTTGAAACATTTCTCAAATACAGTATATGACAGTTGAAGAGACATTTTACTAGTAAATGAAGAAGATGCACAACATAACCTCCAGACTCAATGAGAGTTTTTACAGATGATGAATCACCTGAGGACGAACAGTACGTTAAATTGTCACCTATTACCAAGTATATCTTCTATCAACCAAAACTGTTGTACATCATTGCAACCGGTGGACATCAGATGGTACATATGGAAACTGAACAAGAACTGTTGCTTTGTGTGAGAGTAACAGAATGTCGTGACCTTTACCTTCACTGATGACAGGTGCCAGATGTATGACAACACTTGTTTTGTGTGCTCATTCAACCTTAAAAGGGATTCCTGATTGTGAACAAATGAATTTGTCTCCAATGTTTGAAATTGTACTCCAAAGTCACCATGTCACATCATAAAGTGTTGTCAGTAACTAGTCCAGCACTAGTATAACAGTTGTGATTTCAGGGAATCCTTCCAAGTTCATGATTGAAGAAGTCATTTCAAGCTCCAGTTCTTCATTCATGTTATCATAGCTGACCCATGATCAATTCTTTTAATCAGAAATCGACCCCTTTCACAATTTTATGTAATAGCAATGTTTTCGTAGGTTTAGTGTTCCCATTAATTATTTCTTCCCAAGAGGGTATATAGCGTATGCCAATACCATTAAGTATTTCATCATCTAATTTTTCAAGAGCAATTTGTGTGCAGTTACTTTAACTTTAAACCTTTATCAAGCCATAATTTCCTGTTCTTAAGAGTGGGATGTACACCAAAACATGCTACTTGCATCAACTGATCAATCTTGTGGAACATTTTATGATCATAACAGAGCGCATTTGCTCTCCTTGGCTAAATTTGTAAAGACTGTAAGGGGTATGGGGCTATTTCAGTCCATCCCCTAAAATGATAGCTTTTTAAAAAAAACACAACTTATTTAAAGCACAACAAAGTTACACAGTGGCTAAATGTTTTCAATGTTACATTTTCAGTTATGTATCATGTTACTTGAGATATAAACAAATGTGTATCATTCAGGTTGGTGTTATTTCTTTGAATAATCAATCCTATTTGTTGTCAACCAAAAGACATTTCATTATTCAGATGATAGGTTTGGTGTGAGATGCATTGAAACTATATATATAACATTAGAATGCATTTCAATATAATTTCATACTTTGAAGTTTACATTGTTTCTTT